ATTCCAAATCAAGCTTGTCTTAAATTTCTTATCTACTGCATTACTGTATCGTATTAATGCGGTTTCCTTTTCTCTGATATACAGGGACATGTCGGAGATGTCCGTTCTATCTGTTGGGATATGAGCGGAAATTTCCTGGCATCCGTGAGCGAGGATAGTGCACGGATATGGTGTGTTAGCGGAAGAAAGTGTTTACATGAACTGCGCTCCAGTGGCAATAAGTTCCAGTCATGCACTTTTCACCCTGACCGCGCTCAAATCTTGGACTGCGCTCAGATTTGATTAGATTGGCCAAATCAAGCAATAAGTGTTTACATGAACTGCGCTCAGATTTGATTTTGTTGAGGGATACACACCATTTACGTGGAATGAGTTATTTGAGTGGCTGTATCACTACAGAAACAGTCACAAACTTTGATTGCATAGTTTCAAACTGTAGTTAATCTTGACCATTGTACTCTTCTGCCCTATTTTATTGTTTGTATTTTGAAATTGAATTTAAAATGTTTGTTTTTGTGTATTAAATACCTAATATAAAAATTTAATCAATGGATAAAATATCACATCAAAATTTAAAATTGAATAATTAAATGTACTTTACTTCTTAAATTGGAATGTTTATAAAATCAATATTATTAGTTAAAATGATATATTTTATTTTACATACTTTTGAATATAACATTATATCTCATACATTTAGGGAGTAGTATTTATTAGGTCTGATTTGGGAATTGGGATTGTTTTAATTTTTTTTTTTTTAAATTACTACTTATAATTATTCGATAGGATGTAACAGAAATAGGATCAAACGATCAATTCAATAACCTGATTGGGCCGATTCAATTTACCGGGTATTCCCATTACAAATCCCAAAATCTTCCTCATTGCTCTCTTACTGCTTCTGGAGGTTAATTAATCCCAATCAAAAACCCAGCACTCACAAATCACAGACACACACAAAATATGGAGTTGAAAGAATCGAGTAAAAGAGAAGAAGAATCATCAGCAAAAGCAGTACAGGTTGGAGCTTTGGCTCCTGGAATCAACGTCCGTATAGTTTCCCCCCTTCTCCGCAAATATGATGTTTTTAAACTTTAAATTCATCTGTTGTAGTTGATTTTTCGTTTTTGGGTTCAGGGTCATACTTGGTATACGCTAAGGAGTTGCATTTTTAATGTTGGGTTTGTGTCTTGCTGTTATATTGGACTTGGCTTTTTCGTCAAGTACTTTTCTTCTTCTTAGCAGGTATGTTTCAGCTTTTGTTATTCAATGTTGTACATTTGATTTGCATTGGTGTATAGTTATTTTTGCATACATGTTAATGTACTTGAAAACTGTCAAGTAAGCTTTGTATAACTGGATTAATCGATTTGGATAAAATAAGTAAATAATCCTTACTTTGGAGGAATAGATTCCCACTTCAAATCTTTGATTTTGTGTAGTACCTGGAATAAGTGATAAAATGTAGAATTACAAGATCATGTAACTAGTTGACAGCCATGATCGTTCCTCGTTGTTTTGCGTTTTACGACCATAAAATTAGAATTCCGCCCGATTTCCATATTTGCATGTGCTATAGCCCACACTTCCGTCGTGGACCAGGGCCTCCAGACCCGGATCGCCTAAAATTTATCCGGGACATCAAATACATGCTAAGGAACCAAAGTCACCACCCCGACATGACCGTACCTCATTTGTTGGCGTTTTACGGCCATAAAACTAGAATTTCGCCCGATTCCCTTATTTTCGTGTGCTATAGCCCATGCCTCCGCCGTGGGCCCGGGCTTCCGGACCCGGATAGCCAAAAACTTTTCCGGGACATCAAATACTCCCTAAGGAACCACATTCACCTCCCCGACATGACCGTTCCTCGTTTTTGGCATTTTACGGCCATAAAACTAGAATTCCGCTCGATTCCTATATTTTCGTGTGCTATAGTCCACGCCTCCGGCGTGGGCGCGGGCCCCCGGACTCGGATAGCCTAAACCTTTTCCGGGATGTTGAATACAACCTAAGGAACCAAAGTCACCACCCCGCCATGACCGCTCCTCATTGTTTGGCATTTTACGGCCATATAACTAGAATTTCACCCGATTCCCATATTTTCGTGTGCTATAGCCCACGCCTCCGCCGTGGGCCCTGGCCCCTGTACCCGAATAGCCTAAAAAATTTTCGGGATGTAGAATACAACCTAAGGAACCACAGTCACTGCGTCGCTTTTTTTGGCGTTTTATGACAATAAAACTAGAATTCTGCCCGATTCTCATATTTGCGTGTGCTATAGCCCACACTTACGCCGTGGACCCGGGCCCCCGGACCCGGATCGCCTAAAATTTATCCAGGATATCAAATACAACCTAAGGAACCAAAGTCACCACTCTAACATGACCGTACTTCATTTTTTGGCGTTTTGTGGCCATAAAACTAGAATTCCGCCTGATTTTCATATTTTCGTGTGTATAAGCCCACGCCTCCGCCGTGGGCCCGGGCCCCCTGACCCGGATCGCCTAAAATTTTTTCGAGACATCAAATACAATCTAAGGAACCAAAGTCACCACCCCGCCATGACCGTTACTTATTGTTTTGCATTTTACGGCCATAAAACTAGAATTCCGCCTGATTCCCTTATTTTCGTGTGTTATAGCAGACACCTTCCTCCGTGGGCTCGGGCCCTAGACTCGGATCGCCTAAAAATTTTCTGGGACATAGAATACAACCTAAGGAACCACAGTTACCACTCTACCATGACCGTTCCTCGTTTTTTGGTGTTGTGCGGCCATAAAACTAGAATTCCGTCCGATTCCCATATTTTCGTGTGCTATAGCCCACACTTCCGTCGTGGACCCGGGCCTCCCGACCCGGATAGCCTAAAATTAATCCGGGTTATCAAATACAACCTAAGGAACCAAAGTCACCACTCCGACATGACTGTTTTCATTATTTTCCATTTTGTGGCCATAAAACTAGAATTTCGCCTGATTCCCATATTTTCGTGTGTTATAGCCCACGCCTCCGCCGTGGTCCCGGGACGACCCCGGACCCGGATCGCCTAAAATTTTTTCGGGGCATCAAATACAATCTAAGGAACCAAAGTCACCTCCCCTCCATGACCGTTACTCATTATTTGGCATTTTACGGCCATAAAACTAGAATTGCACCTGATTCCCTTAATTTCGTGTGTTATAACAAACACCTTCCGCCGTGGGCTCCGGCCCCTAGACCCGGATCGCCTAAAAATTTTCTGGGACGTAGAATACAACCTAAGGAACCACAGTCACCACTCCACCATGACCGTTCCTCATTTTTTGGCGTTTTGCGGCCATAAAACTAGAATTCCGTCCGATTCCCATATTTTCGTGTGCTATAGCCCACGCCTCCGCTGTGGGCCTAGGACCCTGGACCCGGATTCCGGGACATAAAATATAACCTAAAGAACTACAGTCATCACCTCGCCATGACCGTTCCACATTGTTTTTGTTTTACGACCATAAAACTAGCATTCCGCCCGATTCCCATATTTGCGTGTGCTATAGCCCACACTTCCATCGTGGACCCGGGCCTCCAGACCCGGATCGCCTAAAATTTATCCGGGACATCAAATACAACCTAAGGAACCAAAGTCACAACCCCGACATGACCGTACTTCATTTTTTGGCGTTTTGTGGCCATAAAACTCGAATTCCGCCCGATTCTCATATTTTCTTGTGCTATAGCCCATGCCTCCGCCGTGGGTCCGGGCGCCCGAACCCGGATCACCTAAAATTTATTCGGGACATCAAATACAACCTGAGGAACTAAAGTCACCACCCTGCCATGACCGTTCCTCATTTGTTGGCGTTTTACGGCCATAAAACTAGAATTCGCCCGATTCTCATATTTTCATGTGCTAGCCCACGCTTCCGCCATGGGCCCGGGCCTCCGGATCCGGATCGCCTCAAAATTTTTCGGGACATCAAATACTACCTAAATAACATTCACCGCCCCGACATGACCGTTCCTCGTTTTTGGCATTTTACGGCCATAAAACTAGAATTCCGCTCGATTCCCATATTTTCGTGTGCTATAGCCCACACCTCCGCCGTGGGCGCGGGCCCACGGACTCGATAGCCTTAACCATTTCCGGGATGTTGAATACAATCTAAGGAATCAAAGTCACCGACCCGCCATGACTGTTACTCATTGTTTGGCATTTTACGGCCTTAAAACTAGAATTCCGCCTGATTCTCTTATTTTCGTGTGTTATAGCAAACACCTTCCGCCGTGGGCTCGGGCCCCTAGACCCAGATCGCCTAAAAATTTTCTGGGACGTAGAATACAACCTAAGGAACCACAGTCACCACTCCACCATGACCGTTCCTCATTTTTTGGCGTTGTGCGGCAATAAAACTAGAATTCCGTCCGATTCCTATATTTTCGTGTGCTATAGCCCACGCCTCCGCCGTGGGCCTAGGCCCCTGGACCCGGATAGCCTAAAAATTTTCTGGGACATCAAATATAACCTAAGGAACCACAGTCACCGCCTCGCCATGACCGTTCCTCGTTGTTTTGCTTTTTACGACCATAAAAATAGAATTTCGCCCGATTCCCATATTTGCGTGTAGCCCAGACTTCCGTCGTGGACCCGGGCCTCCAGACCCGGATTGCTTAAAATTTATCCGGGACATCAAATACAACCTAAGGAACCAAAGTCACCACCCCGACATGACCGTAATTCATTTTTTGGCGTTTTGTGACCATAAAACTCGAATTCCGCCCGATTCCCATATTTTCTTGTGCTATAGCCCATGCCTCCGTCGTGGGTCCGGGCCCCCGAACCCGGATCACCTAAAATTTATTTGGGACATCAAATACAACCTGAGGAACCTAAGTCACCGCCCTGCCATGACCGTTCCTCATTTGTTGGCGTTTTACGGCCATAAAACTAGAATTCGCCCGATTCCCATATTTTCGTGTGCTATAGCCCACGCCTCCGCTGTGGGCCCGGGCCTCCGGACCTGGATCGCCTAAAAAATTTTCGGGACATCAAATACTACCTAAATAACAACATTCACTGCCCCGACATGACCCTTCCTCGATTTTGGCATTTTACGGCCATAAAACTAGAATTCCGCTCGATTCCCATATTTTCGTGTGCTATAGCCCACACCACCGTCGTGGGCGCGGGCCCCCGGACTCGATAGCCTTAACATTTTCCAGGATCTTGAATACAATCTAAGGAACCAAAGTCACCGACCCGCCATGACTGTTACTCATTGTTTGGCATTTTACGGCCTTAAAACTAGAATTCCGCCTGATTCCCTTATTTTCGTGTGTTATAGCAAACACCTTCCGCCGTGGGCTCGGGCCCATAGATCCAGATCGCCTAAAAATTTTCTGGGACGTAGAATACAACCTAAGGAACCACAGTCACCACTCCACTATGACCGTTCCTCATTTTTTGGCGTTGTGCGGCAATAAAACTAGAATTCCGTCCGATTCCCATATTTTCGTGTGCTATAGCCCACGCCTCCGCCGTGGGCCTAGGCCCCTGGACCCGGATAGCCTAAAATTTTTCTGGGACATCAAATATAATTTAAGGAATCAGAGTCACCCCCTCGCCATGACCGTTCCTCGTTGTTTTGCTTTTTACGACCATAAAAATATAATTCTGCCCGATTCCCATATTTGCGTGTGCTATAGCCCAGACTTCCGTCGTGGACCCGGGCCTCCGGACCCGGATCGCCTAAAATTTATCTGGGACATCAAATACAACCTAAGGAACCAAAGTCACCACCCCGACATGACCGTAATTCATTATTTGGCATTTTGTGGCCATAAAACTCGAATTCCGCCCGATTCCCATATTTTCGTGTGCTATAGCCCACGCCTCCGCCGTGGGTCCGGGCCCCCGAACTCGGATTGCCTAAAATTTATTCGGGACATCAAATACAACCTGAGGAATCGGGCGGATTTCTAGTTTTTTGGCCTTAAAACGCAAAAAACGAGGAACAATCTTGGCGAGGCGGTGACTATGGTTCCTTAGGTCATATTTGATGGCTCGAAAATTTTTTAGGCGATCCGGTTTTGGGAGTCCGGGCCCACTCGGAAATCGTGGGCTATAGCTCACGAAAATATGGGAATCGGACGAAATTCTTATTTTTTGTCCGTAAAACGCAAAAGAACGAGGAACGGTCATGGTGGGGCGGTGACAATGGTTCCTTAGGTAGTATTCTATGGCCCGAAAAATTTTTAGGCGATCCGGGTCAGGGAGGCACGGGACCACTCGGAAGGCGTGGGCTATATAGCACACGCAAATATGGGAATCGCGCGAAATTCTAGTTTTTTGACTGTAAAATGCAAAAAAACTAGGAACGGTCAAGGCGGGGCGGTAACTATTGTTCCTTAGGTCGTATTTCATGGCCCGGAAAATTGTTAGGCGATCGGGGTCGGGGGGCCCGGGCCCAATCAAAAGGCGTGGGTTATAGCACACGAAAATATGTGCATCGTGCGAAATTCTAGTTTTTTGGCCGTAAAATGCAAAACAATGAGGAACGGTCATGGCGGAGCGGTGTCTATCGTTTCTTAGGTCCTATTTGATGGCCCGAAAAAATTTTAGGCGATACGGGTCAGGAGGGCCCGCGCCTACTCGGAAGGCGTGGGCTATAGCACACGAAAATATTGGAATCGGGCGGAATTCTAGTTTTTTGGCCGTAAAACGCAAAAAAACGAGGAATGGTCATGGCAGGGCGGTGAATATGGTTCTTTAGGTCGTATGTGATGGCCCGAAATTTTTTTAGGCTATACGGGTTTAGGGGGCCGGGCCCACTCGGAAGGCGTAGGCTATAGTACATAAAAATATGGGAATCGGGCAGAATTCTAGTTTTTGGCCGTAAAACGCAAAAGAACGAGGAACGGTCATGGTGGGGCGGTGACTATGGTTCCTTAGGTCGTATTCTATGGCCCGAAAAATATATAGGCGATCCAGGTCTGGAGAGGCCAGGACCACTCAGAAGGCGTGGGCTATAGCACACGAAAGTTTGGGAATCGGGCGGAATTCTAGTTTTTTGGCCGTAAAACGCAAAATAATGAGGAACGGTCATGGCGGTGCGGTGACTATAGTTCCTTAGGTCCTATTTGATAGCCCATAAAATTTTTTGGCGATCCGGGTCCGGAGGGTCCGGGCCCACTCGGAAGGCGTGGGTTTATAGCACACGAAAATATGGGAATCAGACAGAATTCTAGTTTTTTGGCCTTAAAATGCAAAACACGAGGAACGATCATGGCGGGGCTGTGAGTATTATTCCTTAGGTCGTATTTGATGGCCCTAAAAAATTTAGGCAATCCGGGTCTTGGGGATCGGGTCCACTCGGAAGGCGTGTGAGACGTAAGTTTTGAAAGTACTGTATTAACCGCCCTTCAGTAACCGCCCTTCTGTTGATTTTTCTTCCACTGTACCTGCAGGGAACAACAGATCTCTCCAACAAGCATCTCATCAAGGATGGCCGTTAGTTGTGAGTGTCTTGAACTT